GGGAAACCATTGTCAATATTTCCAAACTCGTACTAAATTCAAAATTCTTCCAACTCAATCCATAACTCCATATATTAAGTAAGCATAGAAATCTTCCTATCAAACCACAGACATGCTCACGATCGGGGTCATCACAAAGAGATGAACAATAGGTAGGACTCACGGCCGAGGGTCAGCAGAAAAGAGGAAGCAGCCCACAAGGCCCATAACCAAGGGCAACTTAAAAGACAACAAGTAAGACTTATGGTTAGGATAATAAAGGGGTCCAAAAAGAACTAATAAAGCTCACGGCTTAAGGCAGTAAAGAGCAGCTGCTAAAGAGAAGACATTCAAAGCACAAGGGGCTCACGGCCAAAGCCAACAAAAGGACCATCAAAAGGCAGTTATGCCTCCCTGACTAAATGAAGGGATAACTGAAATAAATATGATTTTCTTTTTGGATGGCAAACTTGATTCATCCACAACACTCAAGTCAATCCAAGCTTAGCAGGGAAAGCCAAATCACACTCAAAGATCAGCAATGCACCTCACGGGTAAGGAGTAGGAACCAAAGCCAGCAAAGCCACCTCCCAACTATTCCTCGGGTAAAGGCTGAACAAAGCAACACAGCCCTCGACAAGAAGCTAAACCAAGCCCAACAAAGGTAAAACGAGCCAACACAGCCCACACTAGAGCCAAATCGAGCCTAGCAAGAACCAGAAACCAAACACAGCTCCCCACTAGAGCTAAACCAAGCTCAACAAGGCCAAAACGAGCCAACACAGCCCACATTAGAGCCAAACCGAGCCCAGCAAGAAACAAGGCCAAAACCGAGCTCAACCAAGAACCAAAACCCAAGCCATCCTAACAAGAAACAAAGCTAAAGCCGGTCTCCAAATAGAAATAAAACCAAAGCCAGCCCTCAACTAGAGATAAAGCCAACACATTGATACAAACTCAAGTTTTAATACAAATTGAAATCTCAATCATATCCAAACGAATCGAGAATCAGTAAGGGCCCAATGCCTCTGAAATGAAAACCCGAATACCAACAAAAGCAAAGGCCGAGCCATTCGAAGCCCAAAATCGAGCCTAACAACATTAAAATCCCCCCCTATAAAGCGTTAAAGATCTAGCCATTTCAAGCCAAAGCCGAGGTTCCAAACCGAGCCAAAACCAAGCCCAACAAGAACCAGAAACCAGATCCGAGTTCAACAAGAAACAAGAAGCCAAAATTAAGCTCAACGAAAACCCAAAAGCCAAAGTCAGAGCTCAACAAGAACTAGGAGCCAAACACAGCCCCCCAACAAGAAACAAAGCCACACAACCCACCCA